AGCATACATTGATTTACATTCTATTAATAAATAATTTTTAGAACCGGTTCTAACTAACAGTTTTAGGACCGGTTCTACAATTAGAACCGAAGTTCTAACGGTTCCAAATTTGAGAACCGGAACCGGAAGAACCGAATTTCCAAACCGGTTCTAACCGCTCTATTAAGGAACTGCCCCATCCCTAATGCTCCCGGGTTAAGGCTCTCATCCTAGACCGCCCGTAAAAAATGGTAGCCGGGTCACATTCACTTATTAGGGGTGACATACCAGAATACTTAGTAAATACACGGCAAATAAAAATCCGGCTACCATTTTTTACGGTTCGTCGACCGCAAGTGATATATCACGTGATAAGCACTTTTAAATTTATTTATACATGGGGTTTAGGATAATATTAATATTTGATCGGCATTAATTGTCGTCCCATTGTCATAATGATACTTTCCTCATATAGTAATTATGCGGTGCAATGGTACCGCCTCATACTTTTTTTTTTTTTTTAAATCAATGTATACTTTTGGTAATGCCGAACCGTATTTGGTGAATTTGGATAATATAATAAAGACAGCAATTTAAAATTCTCAAAAATAAAGCCCAGCCACAATAGCCACTCCACTATACGCGGATCTAAAAGTATTTTTACAATTTCTTAATTCAAGTAAATAAAGTGCAGGGTGGTATTTACAAAAAAACATCCTGTCCTTTTGCGAAGGAACTTTATAATAGAAACCTTAGGTGAATGATTGTTTGAAATGTGACTAAATGTGAACAATAAATTATGAATTATTGTCAATGTCCACCATTAATCCAATTTGATGCAGATGTGACACATTAACAAATCCAACTTGACAAAATTGGCATTATAATTATCGGAAATGAATACATAAAAAAAGAAAATTCAAAGCCAAATATGAAGGAAGAACAAAAAGATAAGGAGTAACTCGGTTATGCCTTAAATAGAAGGTTACTTTTTCCAAATTGAAGTAGCTCATTTAACCATAAAATGTTTAACTATTGAGCCTAGATGTTCAAACGAATAAATAATCTTTATAAATTGTTTTTGTTGATGTTATTCCGGTTATGTCGAATTGATTCTCGAGTCTTATTTTGTTAATATTGATAAAGAGATAATCTTGTTATCAATAGGTTGGATGATGATTATTTTTATTATAAATACATCCATGTTTCATACCATTTTGAAAACCTTCTTTAAAGCAAAAAAAAAAAAAAATAAATAAATAAATAAAATGAAATTCATTCCGATCTTGTTAATTATCTTTGCTGTCGCTTCTTTGGCAAAACCTTTAAATCCAGCCTTTGGCCATGATTTGACAAAACGCGCTCCTCTTTGCGGCAATGAATGTCAGTTTACTTGTGGAGCTTGCCAATGCACTGCTAGTGAATGCGATGACACACCTCGTTGCACTTCGGTCCAATCGTGCACTGGCGAATGTAGCAATGTATGCACCGCTAGTTGTGGCTCTTGCAAATTTAATTGTTTTGAATGCGTTGGAACTCCTCCAGGATGTAAATTTTGTAACCCTATCTAAGAAACAAATAACTTCAATTGAAATCGCAATTGAAAATTTTACATGTTAACATTTGAATTTAAAATTGATGTAGTTATAGTTTGTGGTAATTCTTATCTTAGTTCTCATATTCAAAAATATTTAAAAAATTGATGAACTTTATATTTTGTAGTTATTATTGTTGTTTTTTTGTTTTTTAAGATATCATTTATTTACTTTCAAAGTCTTTTATCAATAATGTTTCACACATTGGGAATTTTTTTTAATTTACATTATATTTTTAATTTTATTTTTTTTTTTTTTGACGGTGCCATGATAATAAGTTCACGCATTTATTGAGTGAACAAATGGCCAACGATATTAAATTAGATTATGCTTATTCTAGCTATTTGAAAATCTAGGCTTGATTCAAAATCTATCCTGTTAAGTTGCAAAATCGTGAATAAATTATTTTTTTCTATTTATATAAATTGATAAAATATTTTTCATTTATTTAAATAGACTTTCAGTTCAAAAAACAAAGAAATCTTCTAAATTATTAATGTACATTTTTTTAATAGTCATTGATTTATTTATTTATTTTTATCGTTATACAAAATTGATTTAATATGAAAATGATCTGCATGTGACATTTAAGTGACTGTTACTTTATAATTTTAAAGATAGAAAGTAAAAAAGTAAGAAAAAAAAATACCTAAATTAAGCAGCAGCCCGAATGTGATCAAAAGTCCTATAAAAAAAATAAAAATAAAAAAAAAAAAATCGGAAATTTAAATGTTATAATATAAAATTTAAATTAAGTCTACAATAACTGAATTTACAAATTGTAAAAAAAAAAAATCGCATATGATTGGTTAAAATATTTTTTTTCGAAAATCCAACTTCAGACGAAAATCAATTTCAGGTGTTTCATTTATTTTAATTTTTCTTTATTTTTTTACTTTTTTGTTTCTTTCGCTTTGAGCCATACCGATTTTTTATTTCAATATTATTTAAAATTATTAATTATTCAAATTAAAATCCTCCCTCTTTCAGCTTGAAGTACGCGGTGTATTTTTTGCGAACAAATATTTTTATTTGTCCGCGCTTATGATTTATTATTTAATCTTGCTTTATAGGTTTATTATTATTATTATTAATAGAACCGCATACAGCACCATAATGAATATAGAACGAAAGTAAATATAGAAATGAAAACCATTTGATGATCATTCCAAGCTTTTTCCTTAGCTTTAGAACCAATTTTAAAAGGATAAAATAAAAGTATTTATAATTGGAATAGGACATTTTATTTCTTTATAAAAAGATCAAATTCTCAACTTTGCCTGAATACATAAAGAAAACTTACAAAAAAAACATACCTTTGTAAAGAAATAATAATCATGAACAGATATTATATTTTTGTATTAATTTTAATGGCTGTGTTTTCCACAGCCAATGCAATACCACATCAACTTCAAAAGAGAACCACGGACGAAGATAAATGTGAATTTGCAGCAACCCTACTCTACTCTTCACATAATCCTGATCCAGTCGTTCCCGGAAAATTCGTTACTTATAATCTTTCTGCAACTTTAGTTGATCACGTAATCACACAAGCAGCCACACTTCATGCTTATTATGTTGATCACAAAACTTTTCTACCCGTAGGTGGCGAAGGCTATTTTGGACCGGTTTGCACTGGAACTGAGTGTCCAATTAATGCTAATACTACATTTACTACAATTGCTAAGTTTCTGGTACCACCAAACTTACCTAATCCATACGAACTTAGATTTACAATTTCAGAAAAAGATTTTTGCTTGCTTTGGATAGGGATAGGAGGGATAGGATATTAACGGTTAATTAAGATTTGGTTAATTAACCGTTAATTAACATTATTTTGTATCACTACACAATTCTAAATATAACTGTAAAAAATTTTAAAAAAGTTTCCTTTTGTTTTGATTGGTCAACTAAAAATATCCTTTGGTTAATTATCATTTGGTTAATTATCCTTTGGTTAATTAACGGTTAATTAACAGGTTTTTGGATTTCAGCATGGTTAAACTCCACCCATTGGTCAGATTTCACATGATGATCAACATAGATTATCCAATAAAATTCGTTATATTCATGCGACAATTTTTTTCGAAGACAATTTTTTTAATTTTCGATAGCGGAGAAAATTTTTATTTGTTTTATTTGTGATTTCTGTTATTTTTAGTTGGGTTTTTTTTTTTTCCTTTAATTTATCAAAAAATAAAATTGATTTTATTCATAAATTGTAAAAACTTTCTTTTTGTCCATTTGTAAGCGTTCATTATTGCCGTTTTCAAAAATGTGTACAATTTGACATGTCGATCATTTCTATAAATCGAACACAAACGAACACAAACGAATACAACCGAACACAACGCGAACACAAATAAATGTTTTTATCTTAAAAAACACTATATATTTTTTCAACCTTAAACATTCTTACAATATGCCAAAGAAATATAGTGAAGACTTGAAATGGAGAATTGTGTATTTATAGAACGATAACCTTTTAAATAGGCATAGTGAAGATAAGGATATTAATGGCAGTTATATTATTTACTAACTTAAAGAAGTGCCTTACCATAAGTCAAAGACTAATTATTCCATTGAACAAATTTCTAATTTTTTTTACATTAGTGAAAAAACAGTAAATAAAGTTTTAAATAACTATATACTTTGAAAAGATGTTAAAGATCCAACAAAAAGATCAAAAGGAAGAAGAAAATTTTTAATAATTCTGACTTGAAAGTTTGTATTATTATATTATTGCTATATTGTTTATAATTTTAGATTATTCATTTTTTCTTTAAGGTCTTAATATGTATTTGAACAAAATTGTTATTGAAGTAAAAAGAAGGATTAATAAAGAAGTTTCGATTTCAACAATATGGTGTTCTTTAAAATATTGTGAAACAACACATAAAAAGTTTTATTATTATAAATATAATTTAAATGTTATAATAATTAAAAATAATCCAATTTATTTAAAAATTAGAAAAACATGCTAAAGAAAAAGTGATATATTGCGTAGTTATTATATAATGACTGTTAGTACATATTTTTAAGTTGAACAGCTTATTTTCTTAAATGAGAGTGCAAAAGATAAGCGTACTTCTTGTAGACAATATAGATACTCTCCACGAAATTAAACAGCAATAAAAATAAGTTATATTTATTAGGAAAACGTGATACACATTACTTTCTGTATTATCTTTAAATGAAATTATTACTTTAGATGTTTTACAAGGAAGTTATGCTAAAGAACAATTTTGTAACTTTATTTTGACGTAAGTAGTAAGTTTAATTTTATACTTTATAAAATTCTAAAAATTTATTTATTTATTAAAATAAATTAATAATATATATTTTTATATATATACAAACGCATTCATATAATTTTATATTATAATAGCTTCTAAATATGAATATATTTCCTCAAAAATAGTGTTTTAGTGATAAATATTATTATGATAAGTTTTTGTAGAATCAATCAGATACAAAGTTTTATTTCTTCTATCATATTCTCCAGATTTTAATCTGATTGAAGCTGCTTTTTTTGTGATTAAAAGTTATCTAAAAAGAAATAGAAATTATGTAGAAAATTGTTCTAACTCTTATTTTTCTTTAACTGTAACATATGCAAAATTACTTCTCATGTGATTTATTCATTTTTTCAAAAATCCTTATATATTTAATTTACTTTTTTAATAAAATATTTTATATATTTATTATAGAATTTAAAATTGTTATTCATTATTATTTTTTTACTATTATTATAAAGAACTTAATAAAATAAACAAATTTTATACTAAACTATTTATAATTACCATATTTTTATATTTTTAGCTTCTCTACACCGATCGAAATAAAGCAAATTAGACATAAGACAAATCAGCTGAAAATTAACTAAATTCAGCCAAAAATCAGAAAAATTACCAAATTTAGCATTTACAATTTACAACTAATCAGAAAAATCACCAATTTTGACATTTTCGATTTACAGCCAATTAAAAAAAATACAAAAACTTTGTTGATATAAATCTATTAAGAATATGATAGACAGAGATAATACAGTCTCACGAAATCAGATAAAATTCAGTGCTCTATAATTCTACGTTGCATATTTCATTATCAATACTAAAATGATACTGAATTTTTGATGTTTTTGTAGGTTTATACTAATGAACAAATATCAAATTATGTTCAGATAATCTGATATCTGGTAAATTAACAGTGTGAATAAAAATGTATTGAATTTGACTGAGAAAACAATTGTCATTTCTATTATCTGTCATAAATTTTGCCAAAATAAACGAATTTTTTATATGACGAGTTGATATCAAAGAACTGAATACTTTGAAACCAATTCAATATCGTTTAAATTAATCTATTTTAACAGTGTTACATTGGGTTTCGTAGCTTCAAATAAAATCTCAAAGGGTAAATAAAACTAAGACAATTACTCAAAGAATCACGGGTGAGG